ATGATCATGAAAGGCTAAACTAAAAATATACCTGCCTATGTTACACTTGCTTCGTAGGCATTCCAGGCAGGTTTCATCTGGGGCTACATCATGACATTTGCAACCCTAATGGGGAATGGAATTACCTCAAATTAAATTAATATTATCTTACAAAATTTTGTGGTTGCATTGTTAGTGAAGACTGCAGCTTGTGTATTGCAACTGATGAACTTCAACAACTAAAAAATCCTTATACATCCACATGTACACCAACACAAATACTAACCCTGATTGCATTGCATATAAAGCAAAATTCCACATTTACCCCACGACCACCAAGTTGAAAATCAAGATCCCCTTTCTTTACCAAAAGAAGGATCAGTGTTTTGTAGTCCAATGAAACTAAGATATGACAAAAAACAACAATAATAAAGAATTATGATGACATAAATGTAGAAAAATAACTTATTGTTTAAAATATTGGTCAGCTACACTGATAATGGAAAAAAAACCCTCAAGTTTCAAAAAAAGAAAGTCAGCATCCCCCCCTCCCTTAAAAGATCAGGGTTGTTCTTGCAAACAACCTTTATGCGATAAACTGGCAGAAACATCTTACCATCAAATTCTACATTGAACTTAATGCCATCAACAAAAATTCCTTGGTTCTTGATAATTCTCTTTTGATCATTTACATCCTTTAAAAGTACCTTCAGGCTTTCCCTATCAAAATAACATTAGGCATAAAGACAATCAATGAAACTTATTATTTATTGAGCTTGTGTTGGGGTAAGGTTCTTATATTGCAAAAGGGTTTGTAGTTTTTTTTTTCTTTCTGTCTAATTATGTGTGGGTATTTTTTTGTTGTGTGTGTGTGTTACATTTGTCAGATCTTGGAGCCACTGGAAAGCCAACATTACAACAATGAAAACTGTCATATATAGTCTACAAAACTACAGGCTTTCAGTAAGGAAAGCTTAAATGGAAAAGTGTCTATACTGTGGGTGGTAAACAGTTCATAACCATGCCAAGCAAAGGAGAAAAAGTATTTTGGTAACATAGAATAGAAATTGATGATGAACCTGTTTTCTTTACAATTGGCAATGGCCAGTGGGTAAACAGACTTTGCACTCTGTATGCTGTATACAGGATTAAGACGGGCAACCAGACCTACCAACACCTGATTTCTCCCTGATCATAAAAAAATAATAATAGAAACAGTTATTATTTCATTCACATTCATGGGACAAAAATTATACACAGCTACACATTTACTCTGAGTTTGTTCTATAGTTTATAACAGCATACTTAAACCTGACAGTCTGTATTTACCACAAAAGGGTCTTCCATCTATCTTGATCAGAAGTTTGAGAGTTGGTGAGCACACCTTATGCAGTCTTTGCTCACGAACAATCAGCTCCAAAACAGGATACAAATCCACCTGATAACCTTGTAAAGGAGTTGGCACCTTTTTCACATCCATGTATTTTTTACAAACTCCAAAGATCACTTTTTTGGCAGCCTTCATTTGATTAAGATTTAACAATATTGGTGTGTCAGAGGATTTCTAAAATGGATACCAAAGAAAGAGAGCAAAACAAAAATTAAAAACAACAAAATTAACATGGAAAACACATTGATAACTGAGGGTTAAAAAATCAGCCATTATCATTGTAATAATAAATAATAATAAGACTTTCACTTCTTGAATCACTTTCAAGCATTTAATTTGTTACTATAGCACTGCTTCCAAGTTGGGATAAATCTGAGTGCAGACATGTCCTTTACAAAAGAAGGAGCCCTTCTGAGAGATCAACACTATGCAATGCTGCCCCTCCACCCTTGAAATTAATGATAGACGCCATCCTAAAGTTGTGCTAAGCTGGCAACAATTTCTCAGTCTCAAAAACTCTTCAGGGCAGTTTTCGGTGTCAATGGTCTTTCTACATCTTAGAGGCAGAGAAGCCAAAATTCTAAAACTTTTAAAGCCTTTTTACCACCGATCCTACTGTATCTTAAAACGGAAATTTTCATGAGCGACTAAACTTCAAGCAAATAATGACAATTTGTCAAAAAAAAAAAAGGCTTTTTGAAAAGAGCGAATGTGACTGTTAGGAACTTCCCTTGAGGCTGGTTATTGATTTGTGATAGCGGTCGCCATAAAGTAGGCAAAACATTTAGCCTTGTAACATTGATTACTAAGAATAAACCTTACCCCTGTCCTTCCAAGTTTGGTGATATTGATTACGGCTTGCCAAGTATTACCAGATATCCTTGCCTTGGTCTTGAAATATAGTAACACCCAATCTGGAACTCGCAGGCTTTCCACGTATAAAGAAAACGTTTCATCACCAACAAGCTCTTCCACCGTCCTTTTAACTCCTTTCTTCAGGGCCACATCCTCCACAATCTCATTTACGATAGCTTTCGCCTCAGGATCACCAAAAGCACACATGCTGGAAAGCACCGTTGACAAATTTTCCCGGCTCCTTTCACAGATGCCTTGTACATCTTGGAGAACGCGGCTCCCCCTCTTTTTAATAAGGAAAGTCTTTTCTGGGGTCTCCAAATCATTTCTTTCACAAATCTCCTTAAGATTTGGGGAACTAAGACTGCCACTACTTGGAGGAGTCAAATGAACCGGGACAGGCGTTTCTTTCGTCTTAGGAGTGTTGAATTGAGGAGGCATGGAAAGGCGCCGAGCTGCACGTGGTCGCTCGCAATTCACGTCCACGTCGTCGCCGTCTCCTTTAAGGGAACTAAAATCCAAGCCATTCAGAAATTCTTTCACTTTATAAATCGCAGCGGATCCTCGTTCTTCAGAACTTGTTTTCTTCCTCAGAATAGCCGATACAAGCCCAAAAGACGAGCAAACAACTTCGAATGCACTTGAACTTTTCTTGTTGACGAAAGGGCGCCCATCAAGAAGCCGAAGTTTGCCGCTTTCAACTCTGCAGAAATCTTCAGGAAAAGTTTTCACGATCGGCGATCGCTTTAAATATTGTAAGGGAATTATTCCACAAATTTCAGTTGTGAGCACGTACCAGTAACTCTGATCGCTTAATCCCTCACTGACCACGCGAGAGAAGGTCGAAAAACCTTTCCTCGGCGCCATTTTGAGGGGAATATCTGGAAAATCTTCATGCACATCGGAAACTACATGCACTGAAAAGCAATCTGGGAAAAAAAACCAAACATTGTCCAGATCCAACCGGAAGAGGCGCTAACGATACTAACCATGCAAACGCTGACATAAATATCTCATATTTAATGGTATTAAATCACCTACGGAGCTTGATATGTACTTACAGTGCAGACGATTTGCGTCCCCTCATGGCCAAGAGAACTGTCTTCTGGTCACGACTATTACACTGATCAGGAGTCAGTTTGATGATTTCAAGTGTTTGAGCCGACCTTCTGTGCTCTAGCTATTCGTCACCTACACCAGGAAACTCATTATTTAGGGCCTTACAATGGTTTTGAAGGGGCGTGATAAGGTTGCTCTTTCGCTCAGGCTTGTCTCGCATTGCATTGTTATAGATGATCCCCGTAAGGGAACGAGGTGATAATCACTTGCATATGCTTCTCGCCACATCATGCTATATCCTATATAAGGACTGAACTGGACTGAACTGAACTTTGGATAGAGAGATGCGAACCAAGGTACATGACAGTCGATGGTGTTGAGTATTCGTTACTTATGGTCAGTGCTCTCCTGACCAATTTTATCAGATCAGTCTCACCTTGATATCTGCATCACTTGGCAGAATATGTTAGTCGTGGCGACAGCCTAGAACTGGACCATATCAAAGAAGGCTCTCTTGTTCTCGATCTCTATTTATGTCTTGTGGAGTGTTAAAAAATAGTCCGTGTTTTCCTCTTCAAGTGATCAGTTCATTTGCTTTCTTTTGGGGAGACAATTGAAATGAGCTTTGAAACGAAAACCTTTAGTTTTTTTGCGAAGACTTCTGAACAAAGCACACGGCTGATCAAACGAAGAACGCTTAGTGAAAATTTCAGTTTTTATACATCCGTTTCTTTTAATGATTTTTAAAATACAACAGGCAGCTGTATTGATAACAATCTTGCCGGCATCTACGTAAGTTTATCTCAACGGGTGATTTCAGCTGCCTTGACTTCGGATGAAACAACTTCAGTTTATTTTAGGCTGTGAAAAACTCACACCTGAGTCGCATATTGATGATTTCCCTGAACTTATTAAAACTCAGTTGCCTTCCTTACCTTTGTCGCCTTTCGTATCCTTTGTTCTCTGTTTACATCTCCACAACGCATATTCGTATACGTCTGCTCCCATAAACTTAATTTGACACACAAGTTTGGAAAAACCGTTTACGAGTCATTTACGTATTAACTGTTCGGTTATTTCGTGTTCAGAAAATGTATTTTTAAATGATCTTTCCAAAGAAAACTGTATTGTTTCACTTATAAACAAATCGGGACTTTCTTTGATCTAGGCAGTTTGCCCAGCTGAAGTCACTCACAATCTACATAATAAACATGCTTAATTTAGCAAAGAGAATTATTATTATGCGAGAGCTTTGGGGCTAGGAGAGTAATTAGAGAGCTCTTGAAGTGCTGTTAGCCAGGAGTAACCCTGGTTCTTGAAGAAGCTCATCAAAGACCATAGACGACTTAATCTGTTTGGTATTAGACAAATTCAAATTGTTCTTTGTTCAAAGCTGTACAAGATGTAAGTCCCACTTGTCTAAATAGCACATGGTTCCATTACTTTTGTTAGGTATTGGTTGACCAGTTAGGAATCAAAATAACTTTACAGTTTGAAAATGACTTTATTTCCTCCTCTTCGCCATTTCAAGTATTCTTCTTAGTAGAGTTTAAGATAAGAAAATTTGACACTTCTGTTTTGACGTATTTCAAAGCAGGGGTCCCCTGAACTGCTTCCTGATTGGCCATCTTTTCCGTCACATGTCACTTGTCAAACTTTATTGAAAACACAGACGTTTTCTGGGTTTACGCGAGCTTGTTCGCGATATGACCGGATTGTTGAGGGTTGTCCACTGCTGGTGATAATTGTGTCTTCGTGGCAAGTTGCATGATAAATTGACCGTAGCAATCTAAGTGAACGGCGCCTGACTGAAGAAAACGACGGAATAACAGGGCTAAAAACACTCACAACCACAGGTAAGTGCAACTGCTTGTCGTCGTGGTGCAGTTTCTCACGTGCAAGTGTTTTTAGCGAGCGGAACAAGATATATGTCAAATGCACATTTTAGGGAAAGCTTACAATCGATGCCTGCTGGTACCGGTTTTCACATTCAACTGGAATTTCATAATCCTAGGAATACCCTGTTTATTTATTCATGTTTAATGAGCACAAGTGACGCGAGCACGAATACATTGAGTTTGTTCTGGCGATTTCATTTTTGGCGGGCTTCCATTTTTCTAACGACGCGATAGTAATAGGGACTTAATCTCTCCCTGTTGCGATCATTTAAAGGGGAACCACTGACTTATTGTGTGTTGACAATTTAGCACGTTTTGGAAACGTTTGTGCAATAGAATTGCTCTGCTCTTACAATGCGTTATTCTAAGTATAATCAACTTGAAGTAGTTAAGTATGTCACGTTGGTGTTGTTCCGGTGGCTATGTTCCAGTGATTTCGTTCCGGTTGTTTCGTTTTTACGTAGTTTTGTTTATAGTCGTTTTAGGGTTAAGTACTAGCCGTCAATCTGAGATCGGCGTAAGGCGTTCGTTGACGAGAATTATACAGACTGAGTTGATGTAGATTTTGAGTTATATGAATTCACTATTTCGTAGTCACGATGAAATGGACATTCCCGAATTAGCTGTGGCTCCACGCTATGCGCTGAATGCCGCTCCTGATCTGTAGTTCCCTCCATTATCATTTTTATTTATTTATTTATTTTAATCATTTTTTTTTGCCAGTGTTGCTTTTCAAATATTTTTATCGACTAACATTTCCTTAGGAACAATGTTACTTATTAGTGGAATTCATAAGTGTAATTCCTTTGCCTTGATGTAGATATTACCTCCAGCCATGTATTTCAAGCGGCTTCATATGTTGTAATTTATTACATGGCAGTTTTCTGGGTTAATAAAATTATTATATATGTGACATATGAAGTACATAATGAGTAGCACAATTTTTTACAATGGAGGAGAAAAGCCAATATTTGGTTTAAAGCATGTGCAGTTGCTATTGTTGTCGTAGCTGTAGTTATTTTTTTATTATTGTGTGTATCCAAGTTTGTTGCGATGTCATCATGCACAATAGCTTGTGGAAAGAAGTGCTTGTTCTTTGCGGCAAATCATTGACAGTAGTCTCTGTTTATTGAAACAGTTAATTTTACTGTCAGGCACGCTTTCTGCTAATTGAGGTTTCAATGATATGATCTTTGACTCGAATTAAGATATTAACACCTGTATGTATTTGTGTACTTTTGATGCATACTTATTTCGTCTCCATTACCTGTTTAACCATGCAGTGGTTTAATTTATAGTATTAATAATTAAAAAAGTTTTTTTGTGAGGCGCAAAATTATTTAAGTTTGAGCTCCAAGTTGCCACTGAGGCAGTATTAAGGTGGACTTTTGCTGTTGTGGGGGAATTTTCTGCAGTCGTAATTTACACATGCTGTTAAATCTTGCTATTGCTTATCACTGCGTGGTTCTCTGCAATGAACTGAAAGGAGAACCTAACAAGGCCCACAGGGCTTGTATTTTCCAAGGATACTGTAATTACCTGTGGCTATCACTGCACTAAGATGAGCTTTTGACACCACTGCAATCTGACTTGCATTAAGTAAATCATATGGCAATAAGTGTGAGGCCTTTCAATGCAGCCAGGAATAATTTCATGACATATGGTTTGTGCTTTACATGCTAGAACTTCTGGTTTATGATTTTTCATGACCCAGAAAAAAGTGCAGGCAAAGAGTTACATGCCACAAAAAAAGTTTGTAACCAGATGTTTTGTTATGTGCATTTGTGAAACTTCCTATATTGGGATACAGTTGTAGATAGTTTCCGTGGAGAACAACCGATTGCATTGTGTTTTGCATTGCTTTGATGGCTAAATTATTAATTTAATTTCGATTTTTTTCACTAGGCTTTTGATAAAGTATGGATAACAGTGGCAGCACACCACATACCATTAAACGAAAGTGAGTGTTAATTTCTTTTGCACCCAGTAAAATTGATTCTGTAATGAACTCATCTGACTCAACTTAACAAAATTTTTACACTAATTTCAAACATTAAACTTCCCCATCCCTTTCTTCAGCCTCCCCATCCTTTAAATTCATCAAGTGTGTCAACTTTTAGGAAAAAGTTTTTAAAAAAAATTCTTACATAGATTCTCTATTTTCATCTTTGGTTTTTTCCTTCCTTTCATTGTTTTGCTCTATTTTTATTTGATTTATTATTTTTGTTGTGTTGTTTTACCTTATTTGCCTAAATTGGCCTCCTTCACATGTTTATTTTAGAGGTTTGATGCTGTATTGCTAGTTCATTTCTTGAATTAAAATTATTGTACTCTTCTTAGCAGAAAGCTAATCATTCTGAGTCACGTTTGTTTGTTTGTTTGTTTGTTTTTTTACTTTCTAAAGTGCTTATGTGTAACTATATTATTGTCAGTAACAGGGTGTTTGATAGTTTTTGTTGTTTTTTCTTTCAGATTATCTGACACTTCAATTGATGTTGGTCAAACAGGTGTGAATTAAGAAAATATTTAGATACATTTGTTAGGTCCATTCTGTAGTAAAGGTTTACTTGCAGTTGGATAAAATCTTCTGGTGATAAAGCTGACAGCTAAGGTTGATGTTAAAGACAGAGATGGTTAATTCCAGTAATCTGTTCTTTTGCAATAACTCCAGGAGAATATGATTAACCAACACAATGTGAAATTTGTCACCTGGATGAGTAACTTTGGACTCTACTTCAACATATACTTTCTTACATTGTAACATTGTTGCATTCTGAATTTTTTGGAAACAAAGATGATTTACTTGTATTTGTAATAGGCTTACACACATAACAATAACAAGAAAACAATGATGAACCCTACTACTCCCTGATTAACATGTAACTTCTCCCCTTAATATCCATACCTTATCCAATGAGAATAGTCAAACTATTTAGATAGAGGTTCTTATCTTGATCTAACACCAAATTCTTGTTACTCACTAATGAGAGAATGTGTAGCAGTTACAGGGGAGAATTAACAATCAGATCTTGGGAGTTGAAGGGTTAAATTATTTTTTACTGAACGGGACAGTAATATCTCAAGAGAATGAATGCCTGTGAAGCCTACTTGTTTAAGATAAATTAATGCTTAAACATTTATAACAATGGCAATGTATTCTGTTGGTGGCAAAGAATTTGTTTTCTACACCAACAAGATTGAGAGAAATTTAAAAATTCAAAGTTATAGTGGCTGTATGTTAATCTCTAACTATGAAAAGGGGAAGAAATGAAATGTGGCAGGCCTGAGGCTTAGTGACTAGCAAGCATTTGGTAAAATAATTGAGTGTAAATGGATTTAGATTTTTAATTCTCTTTACTAAGTTCTTGCATGAATAATATTAATAGGTAAAAAGACACGACTGCAAGTCATTATCCCCAGACTCAAACTCTCTGAAGAACAGTTACAAAGATTACAAATATTTACCACAAAACTTCAAATGGCATCAGTCAACAAGGAACATGAGATTCCCTCAAATAACAATGGTGCTGCAAACACATCAACCACAGAGGAAGTTGCAGATGTGGTACCATCAACAACCAAACCAGTAAGGAGAAAAGAAAAAAATTCTGAAGCAGAGAGTCCTGTGAGGCACAGGTTGTCAGACCTCCTGGGTGGATTATCTACTGGCTATATTGAGACATACCCTGATTGTGAAGAGACGTATACAGAAAGGATTGTTTGTGAGCTACCCAATGGTAGCAGTTGTCTCCATCCAAAGTCAGTGAAGGCGGGTTTGTTTCATTCAGATGAGCCCCTTCCTAATGAGAATGGTGACTCTCCATTTTTATGGGAAAAAGACTGTATTACAGTACCTTGCTATCCAGATGTTGTGTCTGAGACCTGCCAGCAGGTGAAAGAAGATTTTGGCAAGACATTATTGAATGACAATGGCCAAGAGGCTAATCTCAAAACTGCAACTATTGAGCAAGATGACTGGGATTGGCTGAAAGAGAACCAACAGTTGCAACCTGGTTGTAGCAGTGGTAGTAGCAGTGGCAGTTTTTCACATGAACCTGAATCTTTAAGTGCTGATCAGTACCAGAGTACTGTTGAGGTTTGTGGAGGTTGTTTTTTAGCCCTTGTAGTACAGAGTGCAAGTTTCTCAAATTAATCACTGAATGATGTAACAATGCCAGCAACAACAAAACCTTTATGTTGTGTATTTTAGATTTTAGATGTTTGAAAAATTGATATAAATTGAATGGAAAATAGCAGGTGTTGTAGAGACAAGACAGCCAATATGAAGAAGTAAAAGGAGGTTATATCAAGAGGTGGGGCCAAGTACCCCTTCCCTTTTTTTCCCTTCTCTTTCTTTCCCCCCCCCCCTCCCTCCCTCCCTCCCTCCCTCCCTCACCATCTTACAATAGAGAATTGATAATTTGCACCAGCAGGGAGAGCAGTGCCGGGAATACTTGTCACAGATGTATTTTCATATTTATAGTTCATGTAGGTAACTTTATATGAGAAGTTACCTGTCTTACTCAGGTTGAAAAAAACTTTAGTGTAAATCATTATCATGAAACAGTAAAGGCATAGAGAAATTAAATTAACACATTTCTTTATCTTTACTTGTTAATTCACATAAATCAGGTTATGAATTCCCTTCTGACAAGTTTTGCCGAAGAAAAGGAAGCAAAGACACAACTGGAACAACTAGTATCACAGCTAGAAGAAAAGAACAAAGAACTTGTTTCAGAGTGTGAAAACCTAAGGAAGCTTGTGAATGATTTTCTTCCTCCCTCAATGGTGAGCACACATTGTAGCACTTTTAGAGTTTGCACTTTTCTTTAAGGAGGTGAAAGTGCTTTTAGTTTATATAGCAAGCAACTGAAAGGAATAATTATGAACCATAGACAGCTTTAGTGTTTGACTGCTATAAGTATGCCATCATTTGGACAAGCATATGTTCATAGATTGCATGCTGTAGTGTCATAATTTTATTAATTTATTAGATTCAATTAAAAAAAACAGGAACCCGATTTTAAGAACCTTTCCATTCCACTTTTTTAAACTAAAATTTGTCTCACATGAGGACTTTCTTTTAGCCCTAAACACAAAACAGGGGCTTTTTTCACGAGGTTCTATGGAAGCAAGCATGAATTAATGAAGAAAAACAAGCTCCAGTGGTTGATGAAATCAGCCAAACCCCTTAAAACATTTCCTCAGATTTTCATGTATATACCTTGTAAGGAACTTCACACAACTGTTATTTAAACAGAGTTGCTTCTTGTCAGTGAGACAAAGATAGTGTAACTGTAACCCACTGTACACTTTTAAGAAACTACTTAATTCTGAAGCATACACCAATTGTACGAGAACCTCTAACCCTTTCACTCCCAAGATTACAGTAGTAATTCTCCTTACTGTTTGCCATATAACTTTATTCTCATCACTTGTCTGTTTGTTATTGTATTGTAAGGAGAAATTCCCTCTTGGTCACTCATGGGAGTGAAAGGGTGAAGGCCAACTTGGAAACATGCACGTTCTTATTTTTAGAACTGATTTAATAGTCCTACATGCGTGGTCAGCTGTACCGCGGGCACGCCAACGTCACGGCTTCGTCCAAGTAGTCCAGTGGTCAGTGCACTGGGCTCCGAGTCGGACGACCCGGGTTCTAGTCCTGGCCGGGGGGACAAGGCGTTGTGGCCTTGAGACGTACGGGAAAAAAATGCGATTCCGCTTTTAGGCTTGGCTTAATCTATATATTGGATTTAACAGTCCTACAAAATGTTTATGAACATGTCTTCCTACGAATTAAAATCTTCCCAAACCTCCTCGCGTTTTTCGTTTCCAAAGGGAAGAGGTGACATTTCCACATAGGCTTCTTAACTCAGGATTTGTTGTGCATGCGGACTAAGTTAAATCATTTCATGCACAATGTACATTTACAGGGGAAACCTGAAACTGTTTCGAGAGGGATTCAAATTAATATGGACTTGGTAAGTTATTTGAGAGCCTATAAATTACATCATCTGTGCTGCAACCCTTTGACCAATGCATATTGAATACTTATTAGAGCAACTGGTTGCCAGCGAAGTAGATGTAGTTCAGTATTTCCCGTTATAGAAAGAGAAACCGCAGAACGACTAACCTTTTTTTGTCTTAAAGGGGGAACAGTGTTGGGGCCATTAAAGGTTTGACAACCATCATATGATGAACAAAATAAGTTTTATTAAAAAATGGAGCTCCTAGTACTTGGCTATTCCCCTCCTCTGCCATACGATGCTTTCCCTCGATTTATAGATCCCAATTTCAAATTCGTTTTGTTTCTTAAGCTACAGATCTATCTTTTTGTTGCATATTTTGCTACCTCTTTACTCCTATTTGATTCAGGAAAATGCCATCAAATATGTTATGGGTCAATTTATTCACGAGCAGTTGTTAAGGAACAGAATTAAGCGTGATGAATTTTGCGGCGTTATTCAGAACTACAAGGCAAGCTGCTGGCTAGGGTTCCCTCTTTAACTTCCTCCTCTCAGTTTAATCTAACTTTTTTCCCGTTATTTTTCAGTAACTTCTAGTCTGTATGTTTCCTACTACCATATCTCCCCTGTCTGCTTTCGCTCGTCCTTTTTTAAATACATTGTTTGCTTCCCTTTATGACTCTTGCGATAAATTCTTATATGTTATTCTTTTGAACAGAGTCTCCGCCGCGGAAGAGCTGTTGATAGAGCAACCTCCCCATTTAGAACAGGGGGCCCCTCTCCAGATGTAACTCTTGTTTCACTTTCTATCGGATGTCAGGCAAGCCCAGAAGAATTAGAACCTCCAAAGAAAATGGCGTCCAGTTTTTGCCAAACAGATCCTGTAGTTGTGCCTGGATTGCAACCACGATCTTCGACGCAAAATGCTGTTGCTACAAGGGTGCAAGGGATTGTCATGCCTAGCATCCAGGGAAAAACTCATATTCAGCCTCCAGTTAGCAATCCCAAGCCACCAAACCCCTCTCAAGTGGCACATAGTCAACCTATTTTTGGCCAACCTGGAACTGGGATGAATGTGCGGCAAGTAACCTTTCAACCTCCACCGTTAACGCAAGGACAAAGGTCAAACGACTTAATGAGCAAACAGCTTTACACAACTAGCCTAGATACTCGGTACCCCGTGAATATTGCTCAGGCCTCGGGTTACAATACTGTAGGTTACCAGACTTCGGGTAACATTGCTGCAAGTTACCATGCAAGTGTACCGAATGCAGTTCACTCAAATTCAAATTCAACCCCATTACAGTTGCCTGGAAGTCATCAAAATGCTTATCATGGTAATTATGTCGTTTGGAATAAAGGAAGCGCAACAAATCCCTCTTCAAATGTTCTAGGGCATGTGCCTCAGCAAGTTAGGTTAAATCAGTCAACAGGCCAGAGCTTCAGTTCTTTGAATCAGATGTTACCGTACACTAGTCAGAGATCGGCAACGTTTCGCAGTCAGTTCGCAGGACAGCAACAGCGGCCAAATCAAGCCATAGCAGGGAACGTTCGTTTTACTTCGACCTTTCCAAACAATGAAAAGACGACGCCAAATCAAGAAGTAGCACACGCACATAGGAATTCTGTTTCTTTAAACCAAACGTATAATAGAAGTTCATCCTCTACCAGCACTCCCGCACAGTACACAGGAACACAACAGCATTCTGCTTCGCAGCAGATGAATCCTAGGCACTTAGCACAGCTGCTAAGAGATTCACCACGTGATGTTCAAATGAACATACGACGGTACAATGATGAAATTCAGCGTCAGATTACGCGTCGAGCTTCAAAAGAGTGGGTGCCATCGTCCAGGCGCTGTGAACAACCGTCTTCCTCTCTTCATGGAATCTCGAAGAGTTTTAATGATCAGGTAGCTACTTCACAGCGTGTGGAGGGAGTGTCATCACAGCGTGGAAGAATTGAGTTATATAAAGGGCAGACGTGCGTTCGTCTAAACCACCCCCCAGCAGCTCCGAATCTAACAGAGAGGGTACCAGTCATGTCAAATTTGATAGCTAAGGACAAGGAACAAATACAACAGAATTTATCATCGTCTCTGTCATCAAACAGCTTCAACATTGCCCAGGCAACACCAGTCGATGGAAACTCAGATAAAAGGGTACAATCTCACATCCAAACTTTGAGCCACTATGGCGAAGTTCAGGCTCAGCGTGTTTACAATGAGTCACAAGGCACGTCCAGCAATAAAAACCAGCCACTCAATGTAGTAAACGAACCGCATTCTTATGTAACAGAGCTTCCTAACTCGGGTCAGCAGTCTCAGTTAATGATCTCGTATGCAAATCGTGTAGTCTCCATGTCAGAGCAAAGATCAGCCCCCACCACAGCTAATCCGCCTCGTCATGATGCTGGAAACCAACTGCAGTCCAACCAAACATCAACAGATGTTGCATACTCTAACAGAAGCTTGAGAGGTGGAACGGTTGAACGCAATGTACATTTTAGTCATGATATTGCCTCCGGTAGTGTGCATAGAAATATATCTTCAGGAGAAACAACAGTTCCGAAGGAGAACATCAGTAGCGAAAGTAGAACCTGGAAAACAACACCAAATAACCAAAGAAACAATCCAGAAACGGCTGATTCACATTCAAATGATGTTGATGTTGGGCACGGAAAGGAGGATTTAAGTAGCTCCATTTGCTCAAGTAAATTCGCTTCCACACAAATGGACACTTCAAACCAAGATGATAGTACAAACCAGGCATTTAAGGATCCGTACAAAATACCATCCAAAACACCCGGTGGCGTCTTAGAGGAAACAGTTCAACGACTCATAACTTTAAAAAATAGAATCGCCAACTCGGAAAACTCTTCTGAGAATGGATGTGCGTCAGCAAATTCTAACGGTGAATCGGTAGTTAACGTTTCAAAGGCAGTTAGTGGCCAAGAGGACAAAGAACAGGTTGAACCTCAAGTAGTAGCTAGTGAAGAACTTGACAGTGATGGTAAGGAGGTTACCAGCAGTTTGGAGGATGACAATAGTTTTCAAGACCCGTACGTAAATCTTATGTCCCCGGTGATACCAAGAATGACCATTCCGAGGCGATCTCGTTCACTCTCACAAAGGCGCAGCCTGGATGATGTTGGGGATGTTTCAAGTGCCTCCAATGTAGATTGTTCCTTGTACGGTCAGGGTGGCAGTGATGAGAACATTGACCCTGGAGCCTCACATGAACTAGTTGGCAATGAAGAGGGTGCAAAAGAAAGTGCAAGAAGTGAGCAAGAAAGTGAAGTAACGTTCAGAACAGATCCCACTGATGAGACCGACAGCCGTGAACTTGAAAATGGAACGTTTGGTGGTAATGACCAAGACCATATTTTTTCTGAGGATACAGTGGTAGAAGAACAACAAGGTACTTGCAGTACTAAAGATCATGAAATGTATACACCGACAGACTTGGAATGTGCGACATCGGAACCAAGCAGGTTATCATTATCAGTCTCAAACAATGAAGGATTAGAACAGTTACTTGATTCTACACCAAGCGACACTGTGGAAGAATCACCGGGTAGTTGCAGTACCAAAGATCAGGAAATAATTACTTCGACAAATTCAGTATTTGTGACCACAGGACAAAGCAAGCCATTCGCGTCAGTCTCAAGTAGCCAGCAAGTCGTAGGGACCTCTGCTACCCAGAATGAAAGATTAGGGTTACCAACGGATATTGCGAAAGAAGCTTCAGTGGATCTTGACAATTTGGAACAAGGTGAATGTAGCCTTATGCCCCAAGGTAAAGGTTGTGAGGAAGAGAAAAACACATGTGCGAGCGAAGTAAATGTCTTCAAAGAAGCTGTAGATACGCGTAGTGATACCAGGGGACCATTCTCAACTTCCCTGAAAGTGGAAGCAAGCTGTAACGAGTGCATGAGTGCATCATCAAAAACGGATGATAAATCAGATGCGGAAGAATATGGAATGTGCGAGATGACTACTAAAGGTCAAATCTCGCCCTCCGTAGCCGACATGAAATTAACAAAGACACAGCATTCAATGAATGTACCTCTTCCCTTAGGAGAAAAACTGGAGCAGAGTAAAGAAATATCAAATTCTTTAGCAAAAAATGGTCTAAATGAAGAAAGCGCTTCCCCCAACAGAACAATCAAATCCGAAGAGATAAATTTACTTCCGATTCCTCAAGTCGCTCTGCGTTTGGAGAATGGAAGCACTGCTATTCTTATGTGGAACGTACCTCCTAATAGCAAAGTTACGGATATAAATTCTTTTGAAGTTTTTGCACTAATGGTGACTCCAGATGAACAGGGGAAGTCACTTGCTCGGTGGGTGAAAGTTGGCCAACTGAAAGCAATAAAACTTCCCATGGCATGTAGAATACGTCGTTTGTTGGGAAAAAAGGCTTCACTTCACCATTTCATTGTCCGGGCGATTGGTAACGATGGACAAACTGGGCCTTATAGCTTACCAGCTGCTGCTTCATAATAATAACGTGTTCTGTTGGAATGACTGTTTGATGCGTCTTACCTGGAGCATTTATTGATCATAATTTATCTGCTCGATGTTACCCTCAGCATATTCAAAAGTTAGTTCTAGATTTTTATGTTAGAGCTGATGTTGAATGTCGCTGTGAAAATCTGGCCCCTCAATTAAGATTCTTGGGAAACGTTTCTTCTTTTAAAAGAAAATGAGAAAGTGTCTCCTGATTGAGCCCTGATTTTGTCAAGCAGCGGTAAACGCGTAAATTAGCAAGTTCTTTTAATTGTTACCTCTGGGTTTTGGAAATTTAACCTCTTCTGACTGATTGTGGTAGAAGAGTATTTGTTTCAGTTATATATATATAATTTTTTTTTTCTACAGTTAGTGGAAAGAAATATTTCTTAATTTTTAATTCAAGATCGAAGTTGATCCCCGTGACTTTTTTACTATGAGAACAGGTCTGGAAAGCGTTGTTTTAAATAGTTTTGCAATTGAAAATATATTATGAATCATGCAAAGATTGTTGATTGACAGCGTTGTTCATATATATACCCGTGTCTCTAACCACGTTTACAACATAGCTGGTAAATTTGTCTAATCAAATTCAATTGCGCGAGCGTGCTTCATATTCCTATTGTGCACGCTCATGACGTCAGCAAAAAAATCCCTCGAGAAAAAAAATTTCCATCGGGTTGAAAATGTTATAAAACAATTGGTCTATACATCATCTGTGCGTTCATGGAGATATGAAGCACTTGGGAAGTTTGGAGAGCACTCAAGAAGCTAGAGTTGCCCTCGGCTACGCCTTGAGCAACTCTTGCGCATCTTTCGTGCTCTCCAAAATACCTGCGTGCTTCACATCTCGATGAACGCACGCTGACGTGTGAACCAATTGTTAAATCTACCTTGTCTTCGCCCCCTTTTGTATGCACGGATCTCCTCATTTTTTCTCTAATGCAGTGTCTTTTCATGTAGTCCTCATGCTATCCCTGTTTCTCAACCTCTGCCTTCCAAGCTACTAAGTACCTCCCACCTCCCCGCGGGTTATATTTTTGTACGGCTCCATATTTCAACCTTTTCTCCATATCCTTACTAGTTACCTCGATCCTTCTCTCATAGTATCATCATCTAGGGGTAACCAAAAAAGCCCTCTTAGGAAGTGGGACTCAACCCGAAGGCGTAACATCACATCATGAGAAGACCGGTTTCAGATAGGGCAGCGAACAGATCGCTAAAAGGGGTGAAAATGATACTTGAGCAGAAAAAAATCTGCAGTGAGGTACCACATGAATGAAGTATGGGAGTGCACATGACAGCGGCGTTTCATGTTATTCGGTTATCCAATATTCAGCCACAGAAGCTCCAGACATAATTTCCGAAACGACCTGGGTGCCTTCTATAACAACAACTGATGGATGATTTTAATGAAACATTTCTTTCAATACAATTGCAACAAAAATTTTTTTCTCTATCATCTCACACTCTTAAGCATAGCATGATATGCCTCCGAGCATGATTCGTATTGGACTCTGAAACATTTGCTGGCGGCGATTATCCAAGAAAACTGTCTCAAACCTCCATCGTAAGACTAACAAATTTAAAAATACTTGAAGATCTTCACGTGGTAATCCTCCAAAATGACTTTAACTATACCGCTAGGAAGCACGTATCTTGTAAGGACCAACAGTGTTCCAAGATCTCGAGTAATTTAGGGTATGTTCGTGGAGATACCCGTTTAAAAAAAAAATCATACAGTTCCTTGTTCAGCGATCATACAGGGCGGGTTGTTGGTATTTAGTGCTTAATGTGATGTTTTTTGGTACCCTTTCTGTTGCTGGCTTTACTCAACTTGTGTACTTTTCCCATCTTTTCACGTTTCTGTGCAGCTCCGGGCATGCCACCTCCAAGGGCCCCTTGAAGGGCACCTCCCATTGGCCCTCCTATCTGGCCTCCCATCTGGCCCCCCATTTCTTGAGGCCCAGCAAACATGGCTCCTGCTCCACCAGCATTTTCCATTGAGGGCATTCCTAGCACAAGAAAAGAAAACGAGTCAAAGCCCACCGTATAACATTTCAGGGGCTTCTTGATGAAATTGTCAGCCATGAAATGGATGAAACGCTGGAAACATTGTGCTGTAACCTCGTTTTCATTAGGAAAGTAAAATTGAGAGGTTAATTATGAAGGAAAGACTTTGAGGCGATACTGTAAATAAATCACATACCTCCTTCCATGCTCATTCCAGCGATTCCACCGCCCATGCCGCCCATCCCGTTCATACCGGCCATTCCTCCCATGGAAGTCATTCCTCCCATTCCTCCCATTCCTCCCATTCCACCCATTCCTCCCATTCCACCCATTCCTCCCATTCCTGCCATGTTCGGCATGGAGTGCATACCGCCTCCCATGCCTGAAAAATATGATTGAGAAGACGAATAAGAGCAGCCTTATTACAAACGTTACCTGGGGGTAGTTTCACAGGATTTAAGAGGAGAGAAAAGAAATCACTAGTCGATGGAATCGATAAATTAACTAGGCATTAAGTCCATACATATTATTTTGTTGTCCATTTCCAGAAAAAAATGGTGTTTCCTGAAACCTCACTCTGAACTGTTTGGTTAGCATTTCCATGAGCTGAGGCATTCTTTTCAGAATCATTTAAATCTTAAAGATAAGGTTCTGCGACACCTATTTGTTCTTTGAAGCTAAGTTTCTTTGTACCACAGGTTGGTTACTTAACTTCATTAGGTAAGCAAATATTTCCAAACGTACCTCCTTCTCCTCCTTCGATAAATTGTTTAGACATCAGAGCACCTTCGGATGGGCCTCCAGCTGCTCCCATGGGCATCTGCATGGGTCCTCCTTCCATTCCACCAGCCATGGGCATTGCACCACCACCACCAGCCATACCTCCTGGCATCTGCATAGGCCCACCCATCATCGTTGGCAAGCCTTCCATAGTAGCTCCACCACCCTCGCCGATGGACGTGGCTCCAGCGCCAAATCCCATGCTGAGGTCACCCATGCCTCCCATACCTCCGCCGATGGAGTTCATTCCTGATGGAAATAGACGGAAGCATTGGCGATTGCTGTTTTGTATGTAACTAGGTAGACAGTTATCTTTCGTAAATTATTTCACCCCACATGATATTAGTAAGCTTGCCGCCCACTGCCGTTCCCCGTCGACATCTGCCTGCAAAAGCGTAACTCGTTCGAACGTTAACTGACATATGAACCCTCAATCAGCGCCAAAATTAGTTGACACATCATGTTTGAAAAGTTCTATTTATGTGTAAAATAACACTCCTGTGTCTACCACACTCATAATCACTGACACGACCCTCCTCCCCAATTCAATTTTGCCTCTATGTTGCTAAAAGTTCATGGTATCACAATATAACGTTTTTTTTGGGGGGTGGGGGGGGGGCGAATAGGTAAACTTAACATGGGTAAAAGAGATCAAATTGAAGTAAGAGGGAGTTGAAAAGGTCAATGTGTCAGCAATTTTGTTACCGATTGTAGCTTACGACCTTGCCTAGCGTAAGCTTCTTGTATCTCAGTATCAGAACGTCTGCCCGATACATGTATGTTAATGGTTCCATTCAAAGATATGGGCCTCAGACTCTTTCTTCCTTGTTTCCTTTAAAGAGGCAGATTACCCTCTGGTCGTCAGTTTTTTTTTTAATGCAGAGACAGAGAAAGAATTTCGCTTACCACCTCCTCCCATGTTTCCCCCAGAATCCATCAGTCCTGGAACTAAAGCAGAATCGAGATGACGTCATAAAACATTTTTCATGACGTCCAAACAGACTAAAAAACCTATATATGGATCAATGACTGCAATGTATGGCTTGTCGTTAATAAAGAACTTTAAAATCGGCAGGACTTAGCCATCAAATCTTAGCTGTAAATGCTTGGACAGATTAATTTCCTGAGAAAAAAAATTAAACGAAAACGTCTTCTCGAAGTTGACGACTTCTTTAGAAGAGGCTTAAGGACTCGACGATCATGCAATTAACACCGGGAGTGCACCAATCAAGACACAAAAGCCAACGAACCAGAGGCAATAATATGACTGGTATCAAGAAATAATCACAGTTGATTGACCAACAACCAAATTACAACAAATCCAAAATACACAATGAGAATGAGTCAAGCAGTGGGAATATGTAGCATTTGTTGGGAGGAAGGCTAAATTGACTAGGAGCATCGACTAGAAACAACTTAATTAAGCCTGCCTTCACTCTACAAGATTAGTAGCTTCTAATACCTTTCCTTGTTGTTGACAAATATAAATGAAGGTCGCTTTTGCATGTTTTGATTCAATTTTATTTGCCATTATTACCAAAGACATTTTAGGTTAGAAGGGCAAATTGGAAGTTTTTCAGTTTATTGACTGGGTTTGATATTTGCGTCAAGCCAGCGTGATGATGATTATGCTAATTTAACTGACCTCTGAAATGATGTCGGTCTGCAATTCTACTGAGGCATGCAGTAAACAAAACTAATTTTTAACCTTGTTGGAAATCGTCAGATTTTTTTCTTGAGTTCTCTGTTCCTGACATACCTCGTATGATATTCCCATGGCGATGGTGCCCTGTTTATATTGGTCAACCGCAAGAAAAGAACTTGGTATTATTGAGTTGAAAGTATCATGCACCAGGGATTGGCAACGCCCTTCAACGCAAACACGATTACCAATTAATTCGGCGAACGAAAATTCACTCTCTTGTCGACAGATGACTAATATGTTTATTGTAAACGTGCGGTTCGTTCTATAGTGCAGACCGAATTGTTCTGGCTACAAAAATGGATTGTTTACAGAGGAGCATGAGAATGGATATGTTTGCAGATTTTGTATTTCAGCGTGCAATGTGGCCCAAAGTTAGCAGCATGCCAATACAGCCATTGATATGATAGCTTTTTTTTCTGTAATTGAGTCGTGTTTGAAATGACATAACGCAGCACAATATCCTGGTGGTGTTACATGCATGAACATGTTTCTCATGCACATCCACAAAATACGATCCTTATTTATCCCAAACGGCTGGAAGTCGTTTCTCTGCAGTTCCATGATCCGGAGTTCGTTTCTGAAGTTTGAGTTTAACTACTGTCTTTTAAACTTTCCGATTTTCCAGATTCAGAGAACAAACTTCCAGATTTCTTGGGATAAACTTATGGTGAGAAGACGCTTTCTTGTTCTGCCAGTAATGTGCGTCGTGCCTTATTTTGCGAGAGGACTTACCTCCCTGTTTTTTGCTTTCTTTGTGCGTTACATGTCCTTTTTCTTCACGGAGACCAAGTAATGGGAAATAAAACAGATATGAATAAAATCCTGTTTTTTTGTTAAATCGAAACTGGTTTGATCATGCAGCGAAAGTGGAAAAGAAATGTCACCGAAAAAAACTCAGGCAATATTTTTTTACGACGGCCAACCCTCATTTTCTTTATCTCTCGGTCTCTTTCTTTAAAAGTTGCTTGTTGACCTATGTAAAAAATACTAGACTTATTTTATTGTACGGCCGTCTTCGTGGTCAATCCTAAGTTATAAAAAAGATTTGCCAAAACTTGCACTATCTTCACGATACAGGAGAACGCTTTAAATGAACAGTTTTTAGACAATTATATCTTCTGTAATCTTTTTTTGAGAAAATACAAGTTGTCATGAGCTCATAGTGATATTCCACGCCTTGACATCTACTTCTTTATACATTAAGTGCTCAGTGCATGTTCGAGGTTAAAGAGAAGCTGATACTTACTTGTATGTTTCGGCCTGGCAAAACCTATTCGGAGAGAGAAAGATTGTGAGTTATATGTTACTGTGATTTGTAGGAATAGAATGATAGTTTCACCACGGATTTTGATCTAGGCAATAACCGGTAATTTGATTACACGATATCGTTTCCTTGCGAAACATGCATTAGGACTGGACCTCGGACTGACAGCATCAGAATTACTCTGAGCTCTAGATTGTACGGTCGTGTGGTCAGGAACGTTACTGTTAATCGCGAATGTTTGGGGAACATGAGCGAAAATGGTCTTCGCAATTTTTTTTTGGATCCGCAACCGTGAGATAACCTGCCAGAAGTAACAGTGTTGTAAAAGACGAAATACTCCCAAGCTGGCAACCTTTTAAAAAAAAGTTGGTGAAATAAGGGATAACGAAGGAATGGTTAACCAGCTAAGTCAAGATATTATGAGTCGGTTGTTATAACAAAGCTTAGCCGTTCTTTAGAAAAACCGTGTTCAAAATCAACTTTAATATAGCCAAAGACCTTATCTAGATATTGCTTTTTAATAAGACTAACAACCGACTTTAGAAAACGTCTTTTGCTTTAAACAAGTCGATTGTTGAGAAATCTCGAGGTCATCTGGCAGATTAAATCTGCGACAGCTCAGGTTAGGCGTTGTTTAGATATCCGCCCCCCACTTGATACAAACGCTGCACCCGGATGCTGTGGTCGTGGTGTGATGGAAGTTAATGAAAGGGGTAAAATTCTCGACCGTTTTGTTTTCTGGACTTCAAAACAGCCGTAGCGATTAAAATCATTCAAAAGAAAAGGAATAGCTGAGGATGGTCTGAAGACTTAAGTCAAAGTTTTACAAGATGCACAATTGAACCGATGACTCTGACCTTGCTCTGATGAATAATCACTTGTGTCATTGCGCCGATTGTTCGTAAGTGTTATTTTAAAATTATTTACAACCTTAAAATAAGTATTTGTTTTGGTTGTTGTTTTTTCTTAAGCTGAAATAACATTCTTCAATGTTTCAAAAGAAGCTGTAATAATGCTTAAAATTAACGTGCCCCAGGTAACTTATAGACATCTATCCAGGTATATTGCGATGTTAATGTAAGAGCTTTGTTCGTTCCAAATCAGAATCTCATCAAAACTACACCTTACCTACCCAAAATTCAATAGATGAGTTTCTGTGCTTTTATCTCGGAAAGATTTACACTAAAACAGGAAGGCATTGTTTGCATCTCTATCGCATTGAAATCTGATTAACATTAGAGCTTTTTTCGATGGGCATCGTGAAAGAAAAACCAAAGTAATCACTGTAGTATTAGTCACTTCCGGTTCTGTTCTAGTGTCCCGTTGCATGTTGGGGGCCATGTGCTTGAGGGCCCGCCATATTGTTTTGGAATAAATCCATCTTGATATTAAAAGCTAAGTTTGTTACAATCACGACGGCTAATGGAGATGGAGAATGGAAAATACCATTAAGAGCTAAGCTTGGTGTGAGTTTTCTCGACCAATAACAGAAAGAAAATCCAATGTAATCACGTGTTGCTTTCGACATTCAATTTAAAGCTGCCCTAATCAGCATTCTGTAACAACATGGCTTCGAACGTAAGAAAGATATGTCATGATTTTTAGCATTTCAAATTACCGCTGTTCAGTCTGTTATGTTCTAAATTTCACTTCGATGGGTAAAGAGAACTGTTGTGACCCGCTTGCAACTGTGCTCAAAGATTTAACCAAAATTCGGGTACGACGAAAACATTCTTTGTATTTGATTCCCTGCACCCTAGGACTCTTCCCCATCAACATCATGTAGTTACCTCTCATCAAATAATTTCTCTTTTTTACTGGGGCCTTGGGAGGTTCCGGGGGTTTAGGAGGCTTTGGAGCCTCAGGAATATCATACTGATCCTGAACGGGGGGAACGTCTGGTAAATCACCAGGAGATGGCATGCGGGGCATCTCATGCGGGAAAACCAAAAGGTATGGTACAGCGCGATAGATAAAGCCATCTGACCCTAACACGAATGGAAACTCAGGCGTTTTAGGAGTTTCTGGTGTTAGCGGCGTCTCAGGAGTTCTTGGAGTGTCCGGCGTTCGTGGTGATACCGGGGTACTTGGCGTCTCTGGTGTCAGAGGCGTTACAGGGCTTTCCGGTGTCCGGGGTGTCTCTGGTGTCTCCTTTGTGACCGGGGTCTCCGGTGTCTCTGGTGAAGCTGGTGAGAGTGGGGTATCCGGTACCGGAGATTGAGGGTCTCCAGGGCGTGCATGAATCACATCTGGAACGGTGATTTAGCCGATAGTACTCCCCTTTCCTGAACAGTGTTACCAACTATAGATCTTAGCTGGGTTTAAGTGTACAAAAATATTGGTTCCGTCTTACGTGGTTTTTGGCGTATAGGTATTTGTGATTATCTTTCAATAGGCATGTCTCTTACACACGACAAACAGCAAAACTTCAGATACTAACTTTAGCAGGAAAATTGAGTTATTATTTATAATTCGTTTTTGCCATTTGCCGATGCCGAAAACTACGTTTTTAACCCACAATTGAAATCTTCTTACATTTGAAAGTAGCATGCTGATTAAAGTTCCCTCATGATCGACCAAATAAAATGGTAATCCATGCGTAATATTTAAAGCCTATAATGAACACTTTAACACTGTATCCCTGTGCAGGTGAATTAAGTGTGGACTTTTCTATACAAATGCCGAGATAAGATCAGTTTTTGAACGATGAAATACGAACGTTAAAATCACGATTAATTTCCCCCATTGGTTGAGAAAGTGGCACGCGTCAAGTTTCTTAAACCCATTTGAGAGCGGATTAAATTAGAATATTCTCAGATTACTTTCAAAAATAAATAAAGAATTCTCTATCTCACAAACTCTTACAGTTTCTTTTCGCTCTTTTTGTCAATGTGTCAGCCGAGGAGTTCAGCTCAGTAAATTCCGACTTCATTTAATTAGGAATACATTTATCATAATTTATCTTAAATTTATGACAATCGTGATTTTCTTTCGTCGGAAATCATCAGGTTAGTTGACGAGAATTTGTCAAACATGCAGTGAGAATGTGACTATATATGCGTGACCTCAAACGACACAACTTGAGCTTATATTTAAAAAAAATCCCTAATACATTCATTTGACAAAGCATGAAGTGCTCGTCAGAGTAATGCTATGTAATGTTATTTATCCTTGATACTCACAAGACTTATTTCAAAATGAAAAGTTTCCAATTCTATTGACTTTAGGTGCGGGCCAACTAAAAAACCTTTTATCAAAACTTTTAAACGACGTGCAACAACTGATAACCATTGGTAATCAAGACTAGTCATGTGTGTTAACTTCCTAAAGGAATGCTCCAAGATTTGAAAGTAGATTCCTGTAAGGCATAGTTTTGTTATAGAAAAAGGGGCTGCGTAACTTACGGAAGATAGATAGCTACAGCATGAACTCACAAGGGAGAAGAAAGAAAGAAAAACCTATGACACCATAGACATGTTGTTTGCCCACTCCGAATAGGACACCTGTTTTAAACTGAGAGTCCCTGACATTAAGTCAAATGAGGAAAAATGCTCTATGTTTGTAATGCAACGACGATATGAATACAAAATACAGAAGAGAAGAGAAGACTTTGCGGAAATTCTTTGTTTTGATGTTATGGATAACTGAGACATTTTAGGCAAGATCGCCATCGATCCATTTTGTTTGGTACCAGAAGTATTTAACAGCTTAACAAACGTAAGATTCAAACCGACTAAAACAGAACTGGAGAAAGTCTCACCTCTAGAAGCAAGTGTTAATAGCAGAAGAATACATAGATGATTCCAATTCTTCATTTTGTGTCTGTGGATGTAAAGAGTAATTTGTATTAGTTCATGTAAATGTGAAATGCGATCGATAGGTGAAAGTCGCTCCACGGTGTCAAGCACATTTCTCTGCAGATAAATCTAATTTTAGCTTGATTTTTTTTTACTTCATTGCTAAACGTGATAAAGACATAACATGAATCTTTTTGAACAAACGTTTTCAAAATTTTAGACAAAACAAGTGACAGGTTTATATGGAGAGGTATATATATATATATAAATATATATGCCCCTCAGTAGAAAGCAGTGTCCATATCATTAATAGAACTAAACATAACCTTTACAAGGGCTTAAATGGAAGTTTAATACTACCATACCTCCGCCGGATCCTCTGGCCTAAAATCTTTATATGTATTTGTATATTCTTATAAGGAACAGTGGTCCACAAGAGAGAGGGTTAATCACTCATTCAACACGTGTGTGAATTTGATATTATAGAATAGGTCAACAATGTGACAAAAACAGTAATTACTTAATGAGACATTATTACATAAGTACGTCTTGGCTGCAAGAAAGCATCTCTAAATTAATGTTCGAAATAATTGTTAGCCACATATACTCATCACCTACCTTATTTCTTCACTCTTCTAAGTCACTTGGTTTGTAAGTCATTTACGGTAATGAAGATTGAGTAGTAGTTTTGGAGTCCCTCTGTTCATGAGTTTAATATTTCATTGGTCTTCTGGTGGTACCATTATTTAGCGTGCATAAACTACAGGTTGGTTTTCTAGATCATTGAACCGCGCACAAAAAGGTGGAGATTTTCAACGCACATGGAATTACTAAGACTTTAAAACGTGTTACCTATCATCTACTGCTGCTGCTTTTTTTTCCTCTAAAAATTCTCAAATTGACAAATATTCTTAGATTAAAATCTCCTGTTCAGAAATTAGTTTTGGTGGGCCATTATACGACAAGTCGATCTCCTCATAATTGACGCCAGTGTCATTATGAAACAATTAGATGGCAATTAATCACAGACACAATCACAGATTTAAACCATTTAAGCTGTTGCTAACAAAGGGAAACTATAAAAGGGGTTTATTATGCTGCTTTAGTTCCTTTGAGCAACATATTTGTCGATGGCCAGTTTTATCTTTAGTGACCCAAGGGACTGTTTTTAAGCTACAGCATATTTCATACGTGTGGCACCTGCTAGGAACGCATCTGAAAATGTTTCTTATTATGTGCCTAATTGAAAATAAAACCTTTATATTGTGAAAAAGAGATTTCTTTTGTATTTCTAAATACCTGTTTCTTAAAATCATTCCGTGAACTATTTCAGGAGAAAGAAGATGGTTTTCAATGAAAACTTGTTTTACTATCGCAACCAGAAAATTATCAATAGGGTTGAAATGAAGTGTTTGGTTTGCCGTTCAAAGCTAATATGTGATAATAACATTTTGATAAAGTTAGATAAAAAAGAATGTCGCAACAAAAACGTTAAGTATCATCTTTAGCCAGGAGAAATTTAACGATGGAAATTTAACGCAGATGGTTTCTTTAGATTAATCTGGTCTGTGGAAATAAAGGTACAAAACTTGTTTACTATTCAACACTTTATTATTTAAGTAGCCAGTCTGTGATACTAATGCTGAGCGTCTACTGATGCGCAATAAAGGAGACAAACGTCGGGCTTAAATGTATCCCTGTTTGTGACCTATTGAGCAGTTTTCGAAGGAAATCTGGGATTGCTTTGGTTTGCTTCACTTCGCTCTGTGATTGGTTCCGAAATGTCGCGCCACATCTCAACAAAACAGAGCTAAAACTACAATAACAATCACCTCATAGAAATGCTTTCATGTTAATTTATTGGTCTAAATAAAGAAAATTCTCGAGTACAAAAATAAATACGATTTCAGCTTTAGCAATGTACATCAACATATGAGATAAATATTTGAATTATAAAAATATCACATACAAATGAAGAAGTCAAGAATTAGGATGTCTGGATTTGTTTGCCCTCAGCCTTTATCAATTGAGCAATCTTCATAAATGGCGGAAAATAAATGTAAAATTACAAAAATATAATATGATAAAACCGAAGAGGCCAAGGATTAGGGTGTCTGGATTTGTTTTCACTTAACTTTCACCAATTTAGCAATGTACATCAATACAAGATATAAATATAAAAATCATAGAAATATGACACAAAAATGAAGAGGTCAAGAATTACGGTGTCTGCATTCGTTTGCACTTAATATTTGCCCCATTAATTGAGTCCCCACTCGTCCGTGGATCAATACATTTTGACGCGTTTGGTTGCTTATAATATGTATGTCTTTTCTTTATGCAGCTAAAAACTCCATTAAGTCAAGGATATCGTGCACGGGTCACTGAAGGGGCCTGCACGTTCTTGGTCGTCAACTGCACGCACAGCAAAATGATACTTATTCCCAGAGGAGAACTGTGACAGCGTGCAAGCCATTGGAAGTGGGAGTGCTTTAACAATACCGATCTTTTTCCACATAATTGGTGGATTTGTGCTTTCGGCACCATCTTGACAAGCAAACAGTTCATAATTGTCAATTACTGCCATAGTGTCATCTAGTCTCATGGTCCAGGAAAGAACAATGTCATCCTGGACAACTACAATTGACGCCTGCGGTTTTGGTGGTGACCTTAACTGTACCTTAGAATCGCCGTTTGTGGCAACCAAAGTATCTGACTGATTCACTGTACCACGCTGATCACCTCCTACATTAGGATTTCCTGGATGACGGTTAGATGGCGAAGCTGAGGACGAAATACCGGGGGATTGAATTGGCGGATGTCGACCTCTTGGCACACCGGGAGGCGCTTGAGTAGCGGCTTGAAACAGAGCAGCTCTTTGCGGCAGAGGAACTGTGAGATTTGGATCCCTCTGTTGAGATACCTGGTAATCTCGAACAACGTACACTTTGTCATTGGATTCAGTAGGCTGACCGTATGTATGCGCTGGCTCTACTCGTTGAGAAGGTTGTGAGTGGGTAAGTGTCACTCCTAGGCCATAGTCAGTGGTAGGTTGTCGTGGTGGATTGGTAGGATAACTAACCTTCTCTACAAGCTGACCTTGTGAAAGTCTTTGTGGCTGAATGGGAGCCTTACTCATCTGATGAACGGGATGAGGTGCATTCTGAATAGAGGGTTGAACGCCTGATGACTGTTGACTTGTGATCTGCCCCGGTGGCTTGTTGGTTTGAAGTAGAGTTGGATGAGGTATAGATTCAAGACTGGAAGAAGCTTGATTTAAATATGGTCTTGGTGTGGGTGGATGGCCATGGCTGGATGGATGGCCATGGTTGGATGGATGGCCATGGCTGGATGGATGGCCATGGTTGGATGGATGACCATGGTTGGATGGATGGCCAAGGTTGGATGGATGGCCATGGTTGGATGGATGGCCATGGTTGGAAGGATGGCCATGGTTGGATGGATGGCCATGGTTGGATGGATGGCCATGGTTGGATGGATGGCTATGGTTGGATGGATAGCCTTGGCTGGATGGATGGCCTTGGCTTGAAGGACTAATGGTGTACACTGCTTGATTTCCTTGCTGTGGTTGGGAGATTGGTAAAGTCGGTTTTGGTTGAAGAGGTCTGTGATTTACGGGGGCCACACTTCTGGGGACAACTCTCGGGACAGCAGTCGTGTTAATAGGTTTTACCTTAAAGTTGTGCATAACATAGTCGTTACTACTCGAAACAACATGTAAACCATCGTTACTCCATCGTTTACTCCGCTTGTTTGGCCCACCAAAAACGGAAATATTTGGAGGACCACGTTTCAAGTGAACTGGCACGTCAGCAGCTCGACTTGACTGTGGCATTCGGATACGATTGTTTTGATTTTCTGGTTGTGAAGGATTCCATCCTACTCGTGCTGGAAAATTGTCCTGGACTGTACTCAGAGTAGTTGAAGGGGATTTTAAAACCTCATGACTTGTCTGTATGAGAATAGGTGACTGCCCTTGATTATGTATATGGTTATTAGGGGATGTCCCATGCATTGCCGGTGGATGAGACGCAGGCCTTTGAAGGGGCCGCGGTTGTTCAATGGGAATTTCAGGCGAAACTCTGTGAGCTGATTCGCCTTCTCGTGCGTACGCCTGTGCAGTGTCTGAATTAACTTGCTGTCTTTGAGGTGGAGAAAAGGTAAGATTTCCAGGTCCAGTTTGCCCCGATGGCATTCTGCAATCGTTTACAAAAGACGGCACAGTCTGCTTCATTTGGGTAATGTTGTTACCACGAGCATTAAAATCAGAAATTCTTCTTAATTCACTCGTCGTAACACTGTGTGTATTTCCTCTATTGCCATGTATGTGGTGCCTGAGAATTTGCTCAACATCTACATTCGTGGCATGATGGGCATTACCCGTTCTTTCAATATTTGACGAGACTTGCTTTTCACGAATAGAATTATCTGTTAAAAGTTCAACGATCCTATTCCCTTGTACCTGAAACAGAAATATTCAGTAAGTTGAGTTACAGAAGGAAAAAAAAAAAGGAATAACGGTCTCATGTCTTTGATTGAAGTTCACATTTTTAAGGTGTCAACGGCTGGCAATAGACTGAGATGGTTCACTTTTGCAGATAAAATCGATTTCTCATAATTTTCAATGTTCTTGCAGCTCTATGCATTTAAGAATACGTACCAAATTAGAAATGAAACTGCCCCTTACTTGAAAAAAGAAAGAAAGAGAGGAAAAAAGGAGAATAACAACAACAAAAGGTAACAATATACCAGATCAATGTCAATTTGTGTTCCACAAGATATCATCTGCGGCTTTTGCTGTTGAGAGAAGGCGTTCATGAGTCAATGAAGTTCTTCATGCCTTCGTTTTTACGGATGCTATTCAAGCGAATTTACACTTAGTCTTACAGTCAATAACCCACTTGAATGAGGTTTTGAATTGTATGCATGCATCTCGTTCTTTCTTTGGAACTTTTCAAAGTCCTAAATTTGTCCTTATTTGGATTGATGGTGACGCACGTTTGTCAGTTCGGTTTAAATGGTCAAATTTCGTAATTATGTTTTCAAAAGTGCAAAAAAGGTTTTCGGAAATATAACAAATGAACGTTTAGCATGAGATTGCGTTATTCTATTTAATATGGTAGAAGTAGAAGTAGAAGAAACCGTTAAAAATAAAGCGTACCCTTTCATGTTTGCAAGAGATTTGTTTCACTTTTTGCTCTAGTCGTTTTGCATCGGACTGCAGTGTTTTCTTTTCCTCTTCCAACGCAAATATATGCTTTTTCAACAATTCTACGTCCGCCATTATTCTCTTTTCTACTTCAAGGGATCGCTTCACCATTACTTCTTTGAGCATCTGTCACAAAGAAACCAAAATCATATCACTTTATCGAGTTAATTTTATCATATTGAGTAAATGTTTTAGGACAGGTTGCACGGCCACCAATATCAGTTCTTGATCTTTGTTTGCTTGGTTAGTGTTCACTCTATTCGGAGAGTTACCTTGGCGAGAGTGTAGGTCAAATTTTTGATTTGATGCGCATAGTAGAAGACTGACCGACTCATCCTAAATAAACTTTTCATATTGAATGCCTCGCGTGAGTGTAGTCAGAACAAGCCTTTCGGCTCTGCTCACACCATCGCGTACTGCATGCGAGACGCGAGTTGAAAGAGGAAAGGAAGATAAAGAGAGAGAAAAGGCCATATGTTAAAATGCTTGTTTACTGAGATGCGTGGGGCCGCCTCTAAGCCATGAAGCACGGACCTCGCGTCCCGTTCTACCCTCCGACTCAGTCGATAAGTTTATACAATAATGGAACATTCTTCAGCTCGAACCTGACGGAACGTATTCATGTCCATCTTTATTTCATTGTCTTTTCCTGATTCTTTGCTGCTTTGTGCTGGCGAATCGTATTTTATTTCATTGTTTCTGATTGACACACAGGATATTCTGCCACTTGTACCTAACAGTGATTTAAAAAATGATACAGTCAATAAAGAAATGCGACAGGAACAAAATACTAACGAACTTGTAGCCCTCGTGAATTACAGTAGTAAAAGAAAAAAGAGACAAGGCAATGAGAGTTAATTCAAGGTTTTGAAAATATTTAATCACATCAGATAAGGTGAGTTTAGGTAGGTTAGCGAGACTATTTAACGATAATTCACCAAGGGCGAATTGAGTGTTGTTGAATAATTTCCGAGATGTAGTCAAGGGGATTATTCAATGAGGCGAATAATTGTTTTAGTATAATTGCTCAGGTGCTTTCGAATTAAGTTGTAAGTTTTTTCTGTTGTTAAAACCATTCTGTATCAAGATAAACAACCAGTTTCCACCCAAATTTAACAGCGGAAGATTTTATATTTCACTTTTGAAAAGTGTTACGCCAAACTTAATAGCATTTTTTTTGCTCTTCGGACTTGAATTTTCTGCTATTGCATTTCTCACTTTCTCGGTAATCATTACCAAACGCGAGGCAGCCATTTTGTAATTCAGCGCCCATGGAATTATCGCCACGCGCGAGGTGATTATAGCGAGATATGACGGAATTCTCGACCAATCAGATGAAGACGTCTTTCGAGTCTAGCAGTGTTTCCCTAGCAGAGTGTTAAATATGATCTCCGAAATTTATATACCAAATATTTATTTATTATTTGTTGATGGTGTTGCTCTTGTTTTTTTTAAAATTATTTTTCATATAACGAATACATTCCATGTTGCCGTGCGTCTGATCATCTAATGAATTATTGATGACGTCAAAATGTGATAAGGACCAAAATGGGGCACATGAGACGCAACCGAGTATGTTACTGATGTTCCTTCCACATTTTGATGTCTTCTGTGATCTATTACTGCACAGGCTTACGGCAACATACAATCTACTTGTTTCATTGATAATGGTGACGTCATCTATGCGCCTGTCCCCCAAAAGATAATAAGTAAGAAGCAATCATAGTGGGTGTAGGATTAACCTCATCATAAAATTCAACCGCAATATCAAATACTCTGATTTGGTTGCCCGTGGTTACAGTTCAGATCAAGTGACTGATCTCATGAGCTAATTTGAGAATGAACCACTGATTCAGTTCAGTGGGTTAACTTTCGTCCAGGTATTACATGAGACGGGTCACTGCCTTTATTTCCATAGAACTCTATACTTCATTATGCATGCAGTTATTTGATTAAAAAAACAAAACAAAACAATGGGGAAAACATTCGGCTGCCTTTGGGACTAATGCTTTACTTTAGAGTGGTATGAGGCCATGCGGAAATAGGTCGGATTTCCTTGTTATAGGCTTTGTAACACTTTCGTAACGGCGGGCATGATTATTATTTTTTAGTTTGCATGAAAAGAAAGCCCTCTTGGCCTCTCTTTCAGGGTAAATAATGTTGTGTTGAAACATGTTTTCGAGGCCAGGAAGGCTAACTGAGGCCCGCCATTTATGAAAGAGTTCTATGATTAGATTTCAGGACCTAACTGTGCACGAGTTTCGATAGCATTCCGATCATTTTTTTACTGACTGACCGATAAAAACTCATTTCTTCATTCAGCCAGAAAAGGAAACTTTACAAATTCAGGGAGCTCTTTAACTAAGTTAGGGGGGGATAATTACAAAGAAAGAAACTGAGGTGCTGCGTCGGAAGGAGGGGGGGGAATGACATGTTAATTTGGTTTTATAAACTGAGTTGACAGAGTAAATTGTTAACCCAGTTTGTTATTTCACAAATACATTCGATGATGCCGTGCATTTTTTCTGTTATAGATCACTGATGAAGTAAGAAAAAAATAGAGCGCAGCCCAGTGTGTCGCTGATGTTCAGATCACATTGGGTGGTCTTCTGTGATCTCTTACAGAATGGTCCCACAGCAACATGGAATCCATTAGTTTTATAATTTATGATAAGAAAGCAAAGTTTTGTAAATGATGAGGTCATCTATGCGTCTGTTCTCTACTACACCATATTAGGTGAGAATCAATCAAAATGCATACAGAATTCGGATCAATATCAGTATCTGGGCAACGGCCCACCTACCCCTCCCCTAACCCAACAACAGTCAATTGATAACAAGTTAGGGTGAATGTTGGGTTAGGGGAGGGGTAGGTGGGCCGTTGCCCAGATACTGATATTGATCCCAGAATTCAGCCTATCATATAAACATATTGACACAATTTATTAATATCATTCAAATCACTCTTTGTCATAGTTCACCTGTTAAGCTTCCTGTATCAGTATTGGCTGCCTCTCCTTTATTTTGTTTTGGGTTTTTCTCCGGTCCTTCCTCTTTTTTCGCTTCTCCGTCCTTGCCACACCCACTCTTTCTCGGAGTATTACTTTTCTTTTGAACAGAGGATGCAAGTTGCTTCAAGCGTCCTAGAACCTCGTCATTCATGTTCCTTTCACTTACCAGCGCCCCTGCGGGGAAGATAAAAACATTTGGCCGAAGAACGCTACTATAATCAGTGAAAATGGATTAAGGAAGTTGGTAAGAGAAATGAAAATTAGCTTGCATAATGTCGCAGTTTTTTCTGTCTGTTTTGTTTGTTTCTTGTTTCCTTTCGTACTCCTCTTGTCTTGTTTTGTTTTCATAATTCGCGATTCTAACAATTTACCTCGTACGTGTGGTGTTCAGTCTCAGTGATCGGACGCACACAACTAAAAATATCCGGGGCTCCGCTCCGATCTTTTCTTAATTTACAAATTATTCTAAAAAATGAAAAAAAATTAATTAAAAAAATTTTAAAAGAAGTTTTCTTCGTATATTGGAATAAACCAAACCGAGCTAATGTGAATCTGTATTAAAATGATTTTTCCTATCATGTAATTATGAATTTGTTCATGCTTAGCGTGCGTATATCGAGTTATGGATGCACGCGGGAAGTTTGGAGAGCACGAAAAATGCGCGAGAGTAGCTCGAGGCGCAGCCGAGAGCAACTCTAGCATTTTGCTAAAAGCATGAGCAAATTCCTTTATAACAGAGCGACAACAAGGATCTGCGCGAAGAAACCTTTTCATGATTGTGCCGGATAGAGTGCAAAATTCTCACAACGCACAAAAAAAAAGGAATCAAACGTCCCGATTGGCTGGTCAGAAACATGCCACATTTTATACTTTGGTTTGAGCGAAAACATTTGATCCAGTTAACCGATAACTGTGAGTGAAAAGCTCAAAATTTACGGGGAAAATGGAGAAAATCAAAACTAAATGAACTCAAGTGCCACTAAAAAATGTTTTAAAAGTCAAAGACTGAAGTTATCAAGGGTTTTGACTGTTCCAAATAATGTTTACGCCGCCGAGCACGGTGCAATTGGAGAAGACAGACTGCAGGAAACTTGCAAAAAAATGCTCACGTCATCTTATTTACGCACGGGCGTGCGTAAATAAAGATTTTTTTCATAGCGGCTCGATGGGACTTACATAAGGCAAGCACGCGCACTATGTTATAATGGCTAATCGCAGTTATTGGTAAAAAAAATCACCATTTTTTTGAGATGAGTTGCATAATCCCATATCGTTTGGACCGTTATGATTATATAATTATATCTTAGTAAAAAAAACTATCACCAAGACAAAACATGCACACGTTATCGACTTGAAGCTTAGAAACATAGATGTAGCATCGTAGATAATTTTTAAAAAGGCGATGTCTTGTTATGGAACAGAAGATTGCTATGACGATAGTTTCATGCTCTGAATTCGCTGTGTACGGCGGTTAGTCTATTCTTGCATCATCAACTTGATCAACATATAAGCGTGTCACTTACACAACGACGTAAACCAACAATTTCTTTACAAACTAAATATTATCAGCATAATTACTCCCGTACATTAAAGAAGGTAAATAATAATCATGTTAGAGGATAGCAGTACAGACACAAAAGCACAGATAAACAACTTTACAATTAATTCATCTTATATAGTTTCTACAGTCTGATGATTGTTATAAACTGTCTTAGAGGTATTCAAACGGACCAGAACAAGATAATAACGCCCGGCGTTATCGCACCCAAATAAACGCAGAATTACAAGTTACTTTTAAGTACTGAAGATGCTTTTAATAATGTCAGTATTATAGTGAATGAGGTTTATCTTTTTCTACAATGCATATCTACAATAACTGGTCTTAATGATAAGTTACCTTGCCTCTCCAAAGTTGAAGATTGTCGAAGCGTTGTTAGACAGCTACTCAGTGAAGTGTGACAATATATATTGGTTATCGAGAGAAAGATACATTCATTCCTGTATCAAAGAGAAAAGAAAGAATTGTTGATATCCTCTCGACTGCGGTAAGTTTGGACTTTCCACAGAGCATAAGCTATGAATATTTCGGCATCTTGCCACGTACGCAAAGAACACGGAAGACACGTTATCAAAACAACAATGGGTTTCCTGTTAACTTGTCAATTTGAAATAATTATGCAGGATTATTTTATCATTCCATGATCCAGTCTGCCCCTTCTTAGGGAAGCGAATGCGACGACCTCTTCGGGGAACAAACGGAAATTAGAAAACTGAATTTACCTTATTACATAGAATGGAGACAACCACAAATGTCAAATGTATCCCTTTGTTTATATTATTGCTCTCCCATCAAAATTCACAGTTTTGCCAACTTAATTCATAGCTGTAGATGGACTTGTTATCCACATCTTTAATCAAGTCAGTTCAAGAACAAGCAAAGTAAGATATCGCGTGCTCTGATTATCTATATGCAAGGTAAACAAATAACTACATGTTGGCCCTGAGGTCTGTTCTCTTCTTCTGGATGTTGTGTGGACGGAATGTTAGACCCGGAAATGCAAATTTAGATACCCACAAATCATTTAAGGCCATTGCGGCCGGGCTATCAATCGTTAAAGAGCGGCAACAGGAATTGTCCTCAATATTAATTAGGTACAGCCACAAATCAAAGAAAACTAGTTTTGTTTCAGTATACTTGCCAAGTTTATGCTTAAATATTTATGAGTGTATACCTTATGGAGACCATTTTTGCTCTTAACGCAAACATTTTTACAATGAGTGATAAAAATAATAATTGTCATATGCTCTCAAAAACTAGTTATCAATTAATTAAAATATGGATAGTTTACTGACTTCTTGACCGATATTGGCTTTCGATCGGTTGGAAAATAAAACTAGAAGAAAATAAGGCCTTAAGCTTGAATTAATTTCAGACTAAACATCACTTACCCTGGCATCAGTTCAAAAACCAATATTTTGACTCCAAAACGTAGGATTAACAATTCTTAAGCGATAAACATTCACCTTGCCTGCTTAACGACGGCCACTCTTTCGAGAATGCGAAAGACAATGTGTATGGTAATTTTGTTGATTATGCTAATATATTCAAATCTGTCAAGTAATTTTGTTGTCTAATTTTAGCTTTTGCGACAACACAATATCGTGACAACTTATTAAACAATCGACCACGAGAAAACAATAACTGCATTCTTCATGAAATTCTTTTTACGCGTTTAAATAAGATTAATAAAATGTAACGACATGAACCTATCTTTGATTGCTTTACATAGAAATGTGTTCCGAACATCGTGATTATGACAAAGTACTTCAAATATTGCCCTGAAAGATTTGAAGCGGAGCGGTGACTAAATTTCAACGTTTACTTCTGTAACATTTAGTTGAAAATCTGGGAGCTGGGGAGTCATAAACTTAAATCCAATCGGTCGGAAACTACACAACACAAAGCGGTAATACATTCTAAAAGGATTTAAAAATGCATCGTGAATCGCAGACAGATCGGTAGAGCAGTTAACGAAGCGTAGTGCTTCGGGCACACGAATAGAGAGAGGAGTTTGTCGATAGTATACAATCCAAGGATAACTGATCTACATTGGAATAAGAGTCTACTGCAATTGTCAAGATTATTAGCAATTTTTTACATAATTGAGATACCCGTGTAGAGGTTTACCTAAAGGTCGTAATTCCACACTGTTTTGATCGCGTACGTTAACGGCTGAACAAAATCTGAGCTGAGAGCGTCGTTTTGTAAAATGTCCGTCTATTCGTCGATCATGTGACACCAGAAAGAAACCATATACAGCAAAGTGCTCAGCCTATAGAGAGTAAGGACGTAAACAGTATTGAATAATCCAAGCTAATTAAGAATTATGTGACTTCCCGAACAATTTACATGACAATGGTACCTTCAAAAGAGAACTAATAATGCTCTTATTTGTAGGCGCCGCACTGGCGCCGGTAAAGAATGCAATTCCCTAAGGAGTACCACTGGCTTTTATCAATAAAACAGACGCGCCATAACCAAAACAATACTTCAAATATGTTAGCAGCTGTGGCCCTAAGGAAAGGCTAGGGCAGGCCAATTTCCGGTTGTGGGGCGACCTTCAAGTAATTTTTATCTATTCCGCGATCTCACCGAATTAATAAATTCTCCTAGTATCTACAAGTTGAAAAGAATGGGTCCGTAAGATTTTCTTCTTTAGAATCGTAAAAAAGAATGTTCAATTCCGACACTCATCATCAGCATTATGGCAAATCATTTCATCCGTTGGATTTAATGCGCGGTTGCTTCTAACTCCTCCCGAGAAGTCCTTTGAAATGTTGGATGCATGTACACAAATTGTTGTTCTTGTTCGATCTAGGGTCTATTCATTATGATCATTAAACTTCTAAGACGTTTGACGTGAATGTTTGATTCGCGTAAACGGGTCAGTGGAAAGCCTTTCAGGCGCCAAGTGTATTTTCCGCCACGAAGAGGAATTTGTCCTGTAGTGTTTTATCTTAAATGTTTTGCCCGCCCTGATCAGTATTCTCATAGAAGGTTGTTGATCAAAAACTAACAGTAACCTGTTGAAGCAGAATCAAACCAGCACATGAACATCGAGTATTCTGAAAATGGCATGTCCACTGATATCGCGAACTGCTGTTATTATTTTGATATCTTCCGTTTAAAGTGCGGTGGCTCAAAGAAACAAAAATTGTAAACTCAAGAACTGCACCCTCAGCAGATTGGAAGTTTTCAAACTCTGAAATGCTTCAAAACCTTCAGAAGCCTTATTAACAATGGTTCCCCAACCGCACTTACTCTTCGTAACTATGCAATTTCTGTATAGTTTAGACATTTATTTTCTAAATGGCTTTATAATAAAAAACATGTGCAATTGTCGCTCTGTCGTTTTCATTTGTAGTTGGGTTGTACACCCTGGAACCTTTAAAATAGCTCGCTAAGTAAACAAGAAGTCACGACACGAATTTCTGGTGTTACAAAACACGATGGTTCCAACGACATATTTAAAAAGCGCCATCGCTCTTATAATCAGATGTCACTGACATTTCAGCTGTCAGAACGTTGTTTGCCATTTTTACCGCTGAAACCAAATAACCATGAAACAAACCCCACCTGTAATTCTCAGAAAAAAATGGGCTGAGTCAAAAGTCAATGAGATTGTCGATTTGAGGGCGCTGATCAAAAGGTAGCAGTGTTAAAGCGACCCACGATGTTTGTCTTTATAATGTTTTGAGTACCATGACGCTTACTTATTGTTCTAGAAAATTCATTGATGTATATCTCAGAGCAACATACCATAAAAAAATATTGAACAAAAATAAAGCGAAGCGTGGGACCTTATACTGAGACGTTTTCAAAGCAAACTAAGCGTTCAACTCTTAAATTTTTTTTCGCCTCAAACTCATCACCTTTATGAATTCGGAAAGTCGATCCAAAAGCTTGATATTATTTCCCGATAGGGGCATAATCTAAGTTATCAACTTATCATCGGGTTGCAAGATCTCATGACGCATTTCCGGTGTGTTCTGAATTCTTTAATCACGTCATGAAAATTTGGATGAAACAAATTATATTTTGAATTATTCCAGCCAAACCAAAATAGCGACTAGAGAGATATCTGTAAAAGTGTAATTTAAAAGATTTCATGTTAATTTCACAGATCTATATCGATTTTCGTCGACTAATAAAATGGAAAGCAAAGTGTAAGAGCTTGACGCCACTTTAAAGACATCAGATAAAATGAAGCAGATAGGAAACAATTAAAGCACTACCCAGAAACGTGACAAGCAGTAAAAAAGGAATACGAAGAGAAGAAATACCTCGAGGGTATGGACCAAACCAGGGCGAAGTGACGCGCGATTTTTCCAAATAAGAGCACGGTAATTGCGTGAAAAGCGTAAATGGATCCGGTGTAGCGCTTCCGAGCAAATTGACCTACGAAAAGATCTCCCGAGGCACGTCAACTCTAAGAACTGCCGGCGTAGTCAAACAAAACTTACCAATCTTTTTCAATAATGACTGAGATGTAAACATATTGAATGTCAAATACTCAGCATGCTGGAAATATTTGTCCATATCCGGTTTTCAAGGCAATGTCTATTTAAGGATCTCTTGCGGTCCAATCCGATTTAGTGCGAGTGGAGATGCGAGCGCCTGTCTCATCAACTTCACACAAAAGTGGTGCAATAAAGGTGAGTCTCATGACAAGAAACAAGAAGGTGAAACCAGGAAATAGATGTTGCTCCTGATTGTGCCAACAGCTCGGCCTGCAGTGGGAAGCTCGGACTTGGCTTTCGGCTCGTAATGTAAAGAATTAGAAAGTTAATTATCTCCGTTAAATCCAGCAAAACCGCACCTGATTAACGAGCTCATCTCCAAACTTGCTAGCTATGGAATGCAATGAATTTGTTCATTGTTGAAGTGAATGTCTGGTGTTCAGCTGCTGAAATAAAACTACAAAGGCAAACGAGGACCAAAACAAAATACAGATAAAACAGAGGGAAATTAGGGCGATACGTTTGACTATGGGGAAATTTCCACCAGTTCCAAAGGGTTCGTCCTCTCATTTTCTCCTATGTATGTAAATAAATAAAAGAAGTAAGAGGAAATTGCTGTATGGTAAACGAGTCCACAAATAACTCTTAGGTATCTCGAGCACTCGAGAATGTGTATAAAACGTCGTAAGCAGCATATAGAAACTATATACAAGCCCTCAAATCATAGTTAAATTTTGATGGTGATCTTACGAGAGAGCATTACGTGATTGTGGGCGAGTGTGGAGGAAGGCGTTCCCTTCCTCCCAATGACGTTACTTGGTACCCACGACCTCTGCTTTGTTAAGTTAAAATCCCCGCACTATGGATGTATGCTAAGCTCAGCTTCACCGTTTTTCAAAGTCATGAAAGTCACTGATAATGGAGGGGACTATTCACCTAACTTCAATGTGTTACCGATGTTAGTTCATTTTCCTGCAAACGAAGGTGGTTGGACGACACTGAATCGAGATCTTCTTTTTTCATAAACGGATCAAACAAGACTGACGTGGTACACTCTATTCACACATGGAATTTTAAAACGTTTTCACTTGATATTTAAACTTTAGCAAATTTTTGTTGCTGTGACAAGTGTTTCCCGCACTACTCAAGTTTGCCTTGTCCACTGTTTGTTTATGTCAATGATCAATGTACAGCTGCTCTTGCCGCGGTGTGGGGGCTTATTTTACCCATTAACGAACAGAATAACTTTAAATGTAATTTTTACAGCTGATAATCACTTTTGTGATGATGGCAAAGCAAAAATCTTAAACGAAGGGATACTTGTTATGTCATGGAACTCGAGTTTATATTGTCAAAACTCGATATAAATTTGCCAGGAGGTGTCCATGAAAAGACCTACCGACTAGGTTTCTATGGCAGTATGAAAGACCGAAATTTTTCCCTGACGACAGAATTTTGTGAGGAGTTCTTGCCCTTGTTCATAGAACTTTGTATGAAGTTCTTGCCCATTTCTAGTACATCAACACTTTTTCAGTTGAATGCGCGGCCAAAATATAATGGAGAAACTTGGAATTCAGCGTCAGGCTTAAAATGTTTAAACGGGGTTAAGATAGCACAAGACCATAGTTACTCAAAATAGATTGGTAAACGATGGCGTTTGTCAAAGTTATATTGTATATTTTACACCGGAAAACATTTTATCTAATTAATTGAAGGTGCACGTGGATCATGTCACCATGGCATCGTACTATAAGGTGAAAGTTTTTAATAAGGCGAGTTCTCGGAGGAAGCAGATGTGTCTTCGAGTAGTTGATATTTACCAAGTGAATATCAACAAATATTCTCTTGAATTTACTAAATGTAGGACTTTTTCTGGGAGATCTTAAATGCTTTCGAGAAAGGAGAGCGCGAATTGAAGAAGGACGACCGAAAAAAACATCAAAAGTTCGGCTTGTTTATCGCGTGGGCATTGAAATTTTCAACACCATTTCATTAATATCTTGATAATGATGTCAGTTTGTGGTGTTTTTTTCCAAATGTTAATAATATAATCTTCTATGATTGCAATGACGCAATTAAGACACCTTCTGTTTGGTAAAAACTTGTTTAGCCGGTATATACGAGCCATAATCATAATCATTGTTTTGAATTCAACTTAGGGCAAATAAAAAAGTCTGAAAGAAAAACCTAACGTCGAGTTCGTAAGTTAGGTCTGAAACACTGAAAACATTCGAGAGAAGCATAATGACTCAAGTGAATTGAACAGCTATCGACAAACTTACAAAGGTGAGACAACCTTCGTTCAGTTTTGCGAAGTAATTGTGAAATGGATTATTTTTTTTTTTTTTAAGGAAAGGTTTAAGATATTCATCCGGTCTTAATGTCGAGTCAACAAGGCATTGTTAAACGCACTGTTCGTGAAGATGTTAACTGGATAGTTTTACTGATGCTATTTGCTGTTCTGCTCGCATATTGTTGCTATTTTGGAGTTTATTAAAAAAAACAACATTCACTTCGCGCAAGATATAATCTGAAGGTAAATATCGAGCAGTTGGAGTTCTTTTTGGCGTGACGACGACTTAGGTATTTAAGCTTTTAATTTTCTGTTCCTTAGACTAAAGTTTACCAGTTCTCTTCAACCGACCGACACGAGTCTGTCTGCTTCTGCCGAAAACAGGAAAAAAACCAAAATAAAACATCTACATGTCATATCTCCTCAAATTCAGAGCTAATCTCGATTATTCATATTTATTTCGCTGTAAACTTTTATTTGTGTAGAAAATAGTATGAGTTATTAAGAAAAGAAGATCTAAACATCCAATCAAGGAAATTTCGATATTTATGAGATGGATTTAGTAAGAGCTTGGCCGGAACCAACTCGAACAATTCATGATTAATTTCCACCTGTTTCAATGTGCCAGCAAACTGTCGACTGACGGGCAATGAATTAGCATTTTATAACGCTGATATAACAGATACACACACAAAAAATAGTTTTAAAGATTCTCCTTCAAATTACCGGATGTAATTATGCAGTTTACAACTACCAAAGGCGAGCACAAGGATAAAATCTTATTTTATCTTTACCTTCCAAGTTTGTGGGCGCTTTTGAAACCAAAATTATGCCAATAGCCACGTTTCCTGCGATTGGAAAACGTCGATTGATTGATTAAAGACAAAACTCATTGAATATTTTTTGACACGAGAAGACGTAGACGTAAAATTGTACTCCTATAGAACACGGGCATTAACTATAATTTTCAGTTTGTTATTTGAATTGTACTCTGTTGCTTTGTTTTGTCTTTGTTTATTCAGATATTTAATCGAAATATAAAGCTTTATTTCTATTTCTCTTCAAAGTTCAGCTAATTATTTTTTTCGGAAAAGAAATTTTTAGCTGGATCCAGTTTTACAGTTCAAACACTGAATATTCAGTTTGTTTGTTAGGTATAGAGGAAGTGTTGATATTTGTTTACATGTTTATCAAATTTGATATAATAGTTGTTTATAGCATAGTTTGGTTGATCGAGGTGAGCGTATCCAAACTGCGTGATAGCTCGTGATAGTTGATGAAGTTACTGACATGATATTTCGTGTTCAACTGAGGATCGTTCGTCTTCCGGCAGACACGAAGCAGCCGAGGATCTACAGCGCAGACTTGAGTTCAGATTTTTCATAAATGGGTGACAAGAACTAGTTGGAAAGCATAAAAACATGCCTTTTTGGCTGGAATAACATTTTCAATTGCTTTTCAAATGCTTGTCGCTGGACAAATTTCACATGCACATGATATTTTCAATTGAAATATTCATGAAATTCGTATAAAAGTTGTGCCTAGGTTTCATCATCACGAGCGCCTGAAAACGCGCAGATGTGCGTCTAGTTGGCACTACCTTTAGCTATCATTACACATCGTGAGCGTTTGAATAATGACTTTACCTATACAACTGACTGAGTTCTACCTACGCCTACGACGAGTGAAGGATTAAACAAATGAAGAGTTGTGAATGAAAAGGAAAATGATTGAAACGGGATAAAAGCATAAATGACTCGCGCGAAGGGTGACTTGATAGCGCTAAGGAAATACACTTGGCTTGAAGAGAAACGGCCATGAAACAGCGAAAGTTTCATATGCATTTTCTCTTTTACCGTTCCTGAACCGAAATGTTTCTGCTAGAAATCTCATATGAAAAGCCCTTTTCAGATGTAATACTGGTCTCATCATGGAAAACATCGTCTATGTCACAGGCAATGTAATTAAAGGTGCAATCCAACCTTTACACGTAAATATTAATTTCACGATTTATACAAAGAGAGATTGGAACATAAAGTGATCGAGGGAATGAGAGAAGCGAGATAACAGGGCTATTTTTTCTTTCTAAGGTCTATTTCTTTCCATTGCCTTCAACAATGAAGTCTGCGAGTTATTGTGAAAAAAATCCATACTTTTATGTTTGAAAAATACGTCCCTCGAGATGGAAAGTACAGTGAAGTGAACATGAAGGAAAGATGAAAAACTGTATCCAAGAATGACAGTAATGACCTTAGCTTCAGTTCGAATGACGCAACCTTCGCGCGCAGTTTACGTTAAAAGAATCCTTTAATGAATTGATCACACCGCCAAGGAAATTAACGGCTTAGTTGCTATTGGTTCCCACCTTATATCGACCGACATTCCAGACTCCTTTAATAACACGACTAATTTATGGCAACGCCATAACAACAGACCCTCTCTTAGTGTTAGAGGTGTTTGATGAGTTTTATGCCCATTTCCTTTTAACAAGAAAGGTAGGTAAAAATAAAATTTGTTTATTGGAATGATTTACACCATTTTCACTCCACTGTCCTAAAATTAGGGAAAAGCCTCAAGGGTTATAGTCTCAACAAAATGGCTCATGAAAAATCTTTTTTATTTTGGACTAAAACAGGTCTATCCTGTTTAGTTAATTTGGCATCATAACATTTTAGCAG